GAAATGTTACTATTTACTCAAGGAATGGTACGGCTCATCAGCGGCCTCCCACATTACTGTGCTTTTTCTCTTCCTTCTCCATTTTGAACCGCTCCAGCTCAAGAACCTTCTTTACTCGATCAAGCTCACTGCTATTCGGCCCTGAGAATAATCTCCATGTGTGATGCTATGGACAAGGCTAACTACCTGTGCAGTTGGCAGCTTGGTAAGGGCTCTTGATACGGACAGTATAGCATAGTATATCTTGGCCATCCCATCGACACGGCATTGTCTTCGACATAAGGTCGAACACAGTCTAAGAGACACAATAGGCTCTACTATAGGGATGTGATGTCTACACTGCAGACTTATCATCATTGCTACTACTACTACTACTACTACTACTACTACTACTATTACTCACTACCTCTCTTCTAAACCACTACTCCTACTAGTATTACTACTACAACTATAACCACTACTACCTGCGCAAGTTGTGTTACACCGACCCCATAACGTTCCCGAGTATCCTGGAAGTTATGCTCAGCATCGGTCATCTGCGCTTGAAGCTAAGAATGACATATAAATGACCATACCGCACCAACAGAAGTTCCCGAGCCCCACTACTACCGCCTTGAGGTCTATGTGGGGGAGCGGAGAGTCAGTAGCAGTTGGCGGCTTCAGTGCTTTGATGTCACGAATAGTATCTGCAAAGCAATAGACCACATCAGAGTATCTTAGGTTCACTCGAAGATGATTCAAAATAGGTCCGCTTCCCATATCCCCGATCTACTACTCGTCTTTATCCAATGGTATGTACACTTATCTTTACCAACGAGCTCTCGCAGAACGATCGAATTGGAATCAGATATGTCGTAGCTGCATAAACATCATTTCAAATTGTCGCTACTTCATGGCAGTACCAGAAAAGTTCGCCTCGGAACGTATCGCCGTTGGTGGTCTTCACCGAAATGCTACAGCCCAAAAAGTTTTGCCCGGGGGACATTGGCCCTCCACTGGCCATCGATGCTGTTGATGATGCCATTGCCTTCTCGGTAAAACTATTCTAATGGAAGTCAGGACAAGGACAGGCTAGCAAGTGAGTATGAAAATAAGCAGGGAGCCGCGTTGAGGAAATTCAAGTTGATCCAAGTTATCAAGTTGTGGCCAACAACGAGCTCAGAAGCGCTACTCCGTACCAGCACCCATCTGTGGTGTATTCCTTCCGCGACAACTCAATCCTACTGTCTTCTTGCTGCTCCCTTCATTAGCCCTCCCTCGACTGTACCAAAACTTGTGACTCAGCGGGTC